CATACTCGGTGCGTATTCGAGAGGTCCGTGGTTCGATTCCCAGCAAGGGCATTGCTCCTTTTTCATTTCCTCTGCTTCAAAAAAAAAAAAAAAAAAAAAAAAAAAAAAAAAAACCTAATGTCTCTACAGTGGCGCCCGAACTAAAAGGTGGTGAATGATGATTCTTCACCACCAGGATTTGGCGACTGGGTCCCCTAATCCCCAATCGCCCTTTAAGGGGGGGAGTATATAAGGTATTTCTCCCGCCTTTTTAGTGTGCCTTCGTGGTGTAGTGGTCTGCACGCTCGGCGCGTATTCGAGAGGTCCGTGGTTCGATTTCCGGCGAGGGCATTGCTCATTTTTCAAGTCTTCTACTTCCAAAAATCCTAATGTCTTTAAAACGTATATGGATATCATCTAAAGATGTTTTCCCTCTTGATGAAACTGGTCTTTCCTTTCATCTCATGCTTTCAAAATGCTTAACCACTAAAGACTGATAAAGGCTCTTACCAAATTCTGATGAAATTGGATTATTAAATTACGGCAAAGCAGGGCTATCTGCCTAAAAAGAACGATGCCTTCGTGAAGAACTTTCTAAAGGAAACCAGCTGGCATAAACGTTATAGTGAGAAAAAACACGAAAACGCCCATGCAACCAACCCGTTGGCCGGTATTCGAACCCCGGAGCGAGCTACCAGTGTTCAGCGACTTTGCCGCTCGGGTGTTTGTGGGCCTTTATGAAATGGAAGGCGATAACTTTATTTAAAATGAATGTCAGAAAAACGAAGATGTTTCGAAAAGTTGGATGCTTTTTAATATACTTGAAGAATGCCTGAAGAAAAAGAGCAATCCATTAAGAAGAAAAAAATAAATTTTTGCACAAAATTTAGTATTTTTTTAAATTTAAAACTTTTTAATCTTATGATATTTGATTCTTGCGATTTCAAAAATAAAATATTTAACTAAACTATGAATAACATTTTAAGAAACTAAATGTAAAATGATAAAATTGTAAGCTATATAATAAATTTCTCCCGCCTTCTTAGCGATTCTTCGTGGTACAGTGGTCAGCACACTCAGCGCGTAATTGAGAAGTCTGCGGTTCGGTTTCCGGCGAAGGCGTTGCCAAGTTTTCATCTCTTCTGCTTCCAAAAAATACTTAATGTCTCTACAGCTATTTAAAGCAATATATGCAAGTCATCCTAAGTTAAAATGTCGGTTATACATCTTTCTCATTTATATATTTTTTCTAAACGGAACATTGAAAGGCGTTTTAATTGTGCTTTATTGTATTTTCTCTTTTAATATATTCAGTTTTCAGATGCATCGTAGTCTGGCACACAAAGTGTTCTTCCGAAAGAAACGCAATTCAATTAAATAAAATAAAATCCTGGAAAATTTATATTAATAAATATATTTAAAATGCTCAGTTCGAATGAATAAATAGAAAATTTTGAAACAATTATCTGAAGAGACAATGGAACACAAACAATTAAAATAAAAGTCTAAAAATTTAAAAATTACCTAAAATAATAACTATGACAAAAAATCTGATAACCACATGACTTCCTTCTACGGAATATTAAATTATACGCATTTTTTCTTGCATTTCATTTAAACTTATTGGATTGAATTAAATCTACTTCGCCGACAGCACATAAACCACAATAGAATAAATGCATTCTTTAAAATTCACTCTAGTAGTATGTTTACCATAGCGACATTCTGGCGCTAGATTCACTTAACAGTATTATATTTCGTTCATATTATAATTCATAATGCACAACATTTATATCATTTAAAGAATAGAATTATCTAATCGTTGCCACATGTTCTATTCAAATACTATAATAAAGCTAGAACGATGTATAAAAGAAATTAAGGAAACAAAACAAAAAAGAAACAGTTTTTCACAGACGATTGAGTATTTCTCATTCAATTAATTCAGTTCTCACTTCGCGAGAAGGCAAAAATACATAAAAACTCAAAATATATGTATTAAAAATTACGAAGTAAATCTTAAACACTTATTTCCTCGAAAAAATTCCAGAAAGGATTAAGCATGATTTAATTGGCAATAATAAATGAATGCGTTATCTTTGTTGTTGCGAAGCTAAGTTTCTCTAGATTGGCAACAAATCCACTAGTCTCCTGTTTCAAATGTACACATAAATGGCCGCCATAAAAAAGAGGCACTTTGAGAACTTTAAAATTGTTGATATTTCTAAAAATATTGCGTACAGATTTACTACAGGCATAAAAACCTTAACCGGAAGATAAAAACAACATAATACAATCATTTTTAAACAAAAAAATGTACAATTTACAAACATATAAGAGTAAAGAAACTGAGATCACTGAGCCGGGTAACAAAGTGAATATATATATTTATATACGTTTGGTGCAGCCGATTGCAACCAAAATACGAGGTGCACATCTACATGTTATAGCAGTCCTATATACAAAATTTCAACGTTCTGAGGCTACTCGTTTTTGAGTTATGCGAGATACGAACGCACGTACGCCACAAAAAATTCTCTTCACAATTAATTTTAAAGCAGTTTTATAATTTTTTTGGAGGAAACGAGTCTTTTATTCTGTCCTTACGTACAGATATCACGCAAGAACATCGTTAAATTGCATTCGATAGCGGTCAAAATGGATATTTTTTCGTTGAAATATGCTACCCTGAAACTTTTCGCGATTACAATACTTCCTTTTTACTTCGTACAAGGAAGTAAATATATATATAAAGAAAAACTATTTGAAAAAAATAACGATGCACCTTTATTTACGCAGTTCGAATGGGTAAATAGAAATTTTTAAAAGTAGTTATTCGAAAGAAACCATGCAATTTAAACAATTAAAATGAAATTCGAAAAAGAAAAAAAAAATACTTAAAATAATAACAATTATAATTAAAAATATAATATAAAGAATATTATTTGAAAAAAGGAACGATTGTGTTTTTTTTTTTTTTTTCCCCCGCTCACGGGAAAGGAAAATAGGTTGCGATATATTAAGAAGTTCGTTAAGTGAACTCTTCTTGGCGCAAACTGAAAAAAAAAAAAGCACCAACATAAATTTGTGAATTTCTCCGTAAATTTCGCCTCAAATTTTACAAAATTTCATATTTAGGCATAATTTGAGTTGTAGAATCGAAATATGGAAAAAAATGGTATGTTATTTAAAAAAAGTTCGATTTCGTATCAAAATAATTATGTTAGAATAGAGCTATATATAAATCTAATATATATTCTAAGTCGCGCTTTCGAGACATGAAGAACGCAATTTGAATTTTGTCAATAGCCCCACTAGAACGGGAGATATATAGAACTGTCTTTTTTTCCCCCCCACACTGTACAGATCATTGTTTCTGTGCAACTTTAGTCAGTTTCAATTCGGACTCCTAGCGAAACATACATGTTTTTGATCCCGTATGGTCGGGAATTCATCATTTTCGATTTTGGTTTTTAGTTGTGATAGATTTCAACAAAATAACATTGGTTGTTGTTGTAAAGTTGTCTTTAGTATAATAGACGAACCAGCGCACCTCAAAACAACATCTATAAAAAGATAATTAATAGAAATTAGACAATTAAGCTTATAACGCAAATAAATGAAAAAAGTATCAAGAATGCAATTTATTTAAACTATCATAAATAATTAAGTTTTTTTTTTGTTTGTTTGAAATATGATGTTTTAAAAAAGTGAATAATGAAAGTTGCATGTGTTAAGTTTTTCAGTTTTCTCTGACCCCCCTTCCCGAGAAAAGTCTTCTGTTCCTCTTTCCCGGTGAGCCATAATGTTTTTTTGGAAAAAAGGGAAAATATTGGTCAAAGTGATGATTTCAGTTTAAAGGCTCCTCAGTTTGTGATTAATTTCTTAAGTTCATAACTTATAAGGTATTTCTCCCACCTTCTTGGCATGCCTTTCTGGTGTTTCTGGTTTCTGGTGTTGTCTCTACGCTGGGCGCGTATTCCAGAGGTCCGTGGTTCGATTTCTGGTGAAGGCGCTGTACCTTTTTCAATTCTCTTGCTTCCAAAAATATACCTAATGTCTCTACAGTGGCACCCGAACTAAAAGGGTGGTGGATGATGAATCTCCACACCCAGGATTTGGTGATTGGGTCCCCTAAAAACCCCAGTCACTCTTCAAAAGGGTATATAAGGTACTTCTCCTGCCTTCTTGGCATGCCTTCATCGTGTGGTGGTCTGCACGCTGGGCATGTATTCTAGGGGTCCGTGGTTCGATTCCCGGCGAAGCCGTTGCATCTTTTTCAATTCTCCTTCTTCCAAAAATATACCTAATGTCTCTGCAAGCTTGCCTACATATTCCGAGCTCCCATTCGCTTTTTCAGCTGTGCCTTCATTTTTATTTTATCGCTATTCAACTGTTACATCTTGAGTAATCTCATTCATAATTTCTTGATTTAATAAAGCTCTATTCAATGTATTCATCTTTCTATAATCGCTTTTTCAAGTTTCAGCTTATATTTTGAAAATCCTGAACACTAAATATAATTTCAGTTTCTGGTTCTTAACTCAGTAACAAAATCTTCTTTGGTAGAACCTTCTTTCTTTACAATATTAAAGATGAAAGTCTTCCTCCCCCCCAAAAAAAAACCATGATTTTTATATGCTTAAACTTCATACTAAGCCTTAGCAGTGAAATTCGTATCCAAAACAACGAGATGAAGTCGTTGATCCAAAATCGTAAGATTTGTAAAAAACGACTTTTTTTACCTTTTTCAAGTACTGTTCATCTAAAAATGAGAATTTTTTTAGATGGTGCACAAATAATACACACGAGGATAATAAAAAATTCAGTATATTGAAAGTCTTTTTTTTTTAACTATAAATAAGGAATAACGGTTTCCTTATTCAGTCATCTATAATGTAGACCGGTGACTGAAACATTTTACTAAAACTCCTTTCTGTTCATGCTATAATGAATTTTAACAAAATATTGATGAATATTATTTTTTGTATAAATTAATTTGTTCTATCTATATATTTCAGAACGACAATGGGTCATACCTTCCGAATGAGATTTTAATATATCCACCCAAAGGATTTTCACACCTTTATTTTCCAGAAGTGAAATTCAATCCTAATTATTATTTGCCACCATTAGTAGCGGTTAGAATTCGAGGAATATCAAAGGGGACAAATGTTACAGTTGAATGCTCGGTAAGCAATTAATAAAATTTTATCAAATATTTATTACCTGTTATTGAAAAGTTTAAGTAATGAAAACTCTAAATGTACAAAATAATGAAAATTTATTTTACAGCTCATCTGTATAATAAATTTAACCCAGGTTGAACTATGCGTGTTCAACAACTTTATTGTTGGTTAGCTTTACATTGAATCTATCACTGTTCATTTTACGTTGGATAAAGACACAAATCCTGCATGAATTACAACACAGATGATTAATATTATCATCTATGCATTACCAAAATGACATGTTTTTACCATGCTATAATAATGAAGACTTAATTTTCATAAATGTTTATTTGCACATTTTTACATTCCTTGTTGGCTTTACTTCAACTACACAAAATAATAAAAATAGAAGAGCAGGATTCATAACTAAGTTTCATTTCTCTTGGATACATGTGATGTTAATATATTTCTTATACTACCTTAAATAATGAATTTAGTGATATAATAATTTAGACATTTTAAATTAGCACATAAGACACCCTTTCACAGTTATGCATGATTTTGGTCTTCTGAAGAGCTTGTCATCTCAGAAAGAGGTGATATTTAATGTCAGTGTTTCATAAATGTTCTCAGAAGTACTAGTCATTTTAAGAGGTAGCCACTAAAAGAAGGCACAATGTAAGCCAATATACCTTCTGCAGCTGATATCTTTTTACAACCAACATTAGTTCATCATTTCCAAAAGTTCATTACCATTAAAGCTAGTATTTTAGCTCAGCTTATTGAATGCATGACTTGTTTGAGTCCACTTTTCAGCTGATACTATATAACCTTACAGTTATAACCTTTCAGCTGATACTATATAACCCCAAATGGAATTAAATTTCTAGGAATTGTACACAGCTTCTGAAATCATCAAATGTAATATGCTTAAATATAACCATACTATACAACACATTGCATTAAAATAGCTGTTGCCAAATGTTGTGGTCTTACTTTTCCTCACAAGAAAAAATAAGATTTTGCAAAAATCACCTATGAAGATATCTACGCTTTTTTAAATAATAACTATTCACTCATTATATCGCGTTAAGCATTTTGAACCCATGCTTTTATACAGTAATAGTAGTTCTGTAATTTAATATGAGGAACAAGTACTTTTTGTGGCCCTTATTTCTTGAGCACAAATATATGTTTTTGTTAAATTTCTCTAAAACTGGTGGTGCTTTTGAAAACTAGATCATCAGGCACTGCTTGCTGTATCTAATTTGCCTTTTTTTATCTTATTAACTACTACAAGAAGTGTGCGATTCGAGTTTCTCTGGAATAAATGGAAACTGTACTTTGATTAGTATGCACTTCAGTCATTGAAGAAAAAATTTTAAAGTACACATTAGTTTTTTTTTTTTTTTTTTTTTTCTGATAGTGTTTCCACATTAGTTTTCTTAATTCAAATGAAACCTGTCGGAGAAAGGAATACAACCAGCATTAAGAAATCTGTTGATAATCTTTCAGTTTTCAATTTAACTCTAAAATACGGAGGTTTATAACAGTTATAAACAATCATCATCACATTTACACATAAAACACATCGACTGCCAAGTTCCGAAAACCTGGCAATTTTCGAACTGAGAGAGAATTCGTTATGTAGTAGGTGTCACTTAATGCTATCGCAGTTCACGTTATAATTCGGATATTGTTATTGAATTGCGGAACTCCTGCCCATCTGCATATCAATAAGGAAAATGTATCCCTTATCATGCTCATTCAGTTAATGTCATTAAAATATCACAGAATGATTTTTTTAAACTAAAATAAAACTCCAAAGGGTAAAAATAGAGTAAAAATCTGCCATATGACAGAGACGTGTTGCCGAACAGCTTAATTTTGATTTACAGCAACTGGCTGCACTGCACTACACAGAATTAATAAATAAGGAAGTGGAATTCTAGATAATGCTAAAATATCTCTTTGCTTGTTTTGAGCTTCATAATTTTTATGAATACAATCAAGCACCATTATGGAGAACTTCAAAGGACTGGAAATTAGGTTTCCTGTACCTGATCTGATAGGGAAAATGGATTATTTCACAACAATGTAAAAACTCAATAATGAATAAAGAAAAAAATTGATTACCATCCTCACATCTACCAAAAGAAGTGAATAATAAATATAATTTTTAATACCTGGCTGGCAAATTCATTTGCCTCTGCCTGAAGCATTTGTCCAGATATTACCAAATTACATATTCTTTGAATGGAGAACCATTTTAGAAATGCAGTGAAAGGTCGTGAAAGAAACAGTGAAAGGTCGTGTGACCATTTTACGCTGCATTAATATGTACGATTAAAAAATAATAATAAATAAAAAATAAAACAGTTATCAGAAAGAGCCAATCCCCGATACTTTGAAACAGTGAATGCACCAGTGAACTATAATCATAATTCAAAGCCATGAATGATGTCAGTAATTTTTAATAAATGGCTTTTGAAATGGGCTAACAGATTGAAGAAGATCCTTTCTAAGGAGAAACTCACAGCATTTAACATGAATACCACTCTTAAATATATGAAAGTAGTATACTTACCAGAAAATATCACAGCCATGTTATCAATGGGCTTATCAGACTGATGAAAAAACATAAATTGCTAGTGTCAGAGTCCTTTATACCATGGATGCACAAATGAATTAATTAGCTAGGAAAACTAATCTTTGCATTTGCTAAATATGTTTTGGAACAATGTTCCTACAGACTTCCAAAGTAGTATCAGTGACAGAAAAAGATACCTTCTGACCGTTTCCCGAAGATAAAATTAAATTCATTTATGAGTACATAAATGGCCAAATTATTTCCAGGAACATTACGAATATGATAGTTAACAAATGAACTTTTATGTAACAATAACAGACAATCAAATATTAATGGCTTTTCTCCTAATTAAAATGCTGTGAAAATAAATATTTCCATGTTTCCAGTTATATCTGTTAAATTTCATCAATATTTTGAAGCATTTTCTTTTCATCGCTTAATATCATCAAAATAACTCTGGACAAGCATTATTACACAAAGCAATGCCTACCGTTGTAGTTACAATATTGTGCATCATTTATAAGCTTTAACTGCAAACATGGCTGTTAAACTTGAAATATGCACAAATGGGAGGTTCTCACTTGGAAACTGGGAATTTCTGAATTTTCATGCTGATGGAGGGACCACCACTCCAAAAAGAATTAGTTAAAAAAAAAATCCCAAAGTAGGGAAGGAAAGCTTTTATTTATCAAAGCAATTTTTATGAAAATAAAAATAATAAACATGCATACTGTTGTGCCAATAAACTTAATGAACCATATATTGATGTAAAACAAAATTAAATACAAAGATAAACTGATTAAACATTTGTTGAATCTCTATAAAAAGCTCTCTAAATGTTTACAGTAGTTAAAGAGAATTCAGATCAAATAAAATTTAATACAGTCAAAAGTCCATAATCTGGAATGATCTATAATCTGGACCTCAAAGCTACAAACTTTCTGCGCATGCGTAAACACATAATACCTTTACACATGCGCATAATATGTTTACGCATGCGCACTTAATGTATAACAAACGGTATAAGCTTAGCTAAAATTATCTAATTATCTATTTCAGTTAATGTTGCAGATTGCGTTGTTCCTTAATCTTCTAATTGGATCCGGCTTATTATTTTTTGCAGACTGTTAGAGCAATTTTATAAAAGTAAGCTAGAACTTTCGATTGTATCAGATAGAATTTCCGATGCTGAAGCTCCCAAAGGATCTACAAAGCGAAAGTATGTTTCGATATCCATCAAACAAAAAGTGGAATTGCTGCAAAAAATGGATAAAGACATGAAGAAGGTGACAAGAATTTTTATAAAAATTCAGTAACAGAGTTATAACTTCAATTTTCATCCATCTATATTTTAACTCTCATTCCTTTAACCCAGGTTCACATACTTTTTTTGTTGTTGTTTTAGTTGTGCACTTGTGTGCAAAATAAAAAAACTGCACATTATGCCAAGCTTTTGTGCAAAATTAAGAGAATATGCACATTATGCCATATTTCTGAAAACCTAATGAACAGGTTTAATGAAATTTGGTGTGAATATATATTTATAAAAGAGAAAGAGATTACAATTCAGAAGTCATTTTATATACGCATGATTATCAGTAAAGCTCATAGTGCATGGATGTCCAAAATCCATACTGTAATACTGAACTGAAAATGAGTCTAATATAGGGTATACACACCTCCTCACAGACAGACAGGTCAAGCACCATGATGGCCTATTGAACAGGAGGCAGATGAGAAGTCCCTGTGGCAGTTGATCGCACTCCTGCAGCAAGGCTATATTCACCTCAGAATGGTTCTCGGAGGGGGATGACAAGATAAAGTTCCCTCTTAAGAGAGTACTAGACATGCTCTATAAGGTTAAGGTCATGAGATCTGGCTAGCCAATTCATGTGGCAAATATCTTCACTTTTCAGCTAATCACTGGCCAGCTGAGCTCTATGTGGATGAGCATTATCATCCATTAACAAGAATACAGGACCCTGAAACTGTGCTCCTGGAAAGTTAAACATAGGGCTCTAAGATCTACTTTGTATAGCTTATGGCAGTCAGGAAAGCTCTGTCAAACACATACACAGGGGTGTACGGCTGTCCAACATAATGCCTTCCCAAACTATTACACCTTCACCACCATAATGATCCTTTTCCTTGATGAGGGAGGGATGGTTTCATGAACCAGACTCTCTTCAGATACAAGTATGCTGAGAACCAGTGTCCACTAAGAATCTCAACTCATCCATAAAAAACACAATGCTTCACTGAAGTTTGGTTCAAGGCATTGTCTGCACTGTGCTAAACTTGCTATCGTGTGTGCTGCAGTGAGCGGGATGCAAACGTTGGGTTTTCTGGCATACAGCCCTATCTCATGAAGCCTTTGGGCAACTGTAGACCATGAAAATCAGTTTTAGTGCCAGCTTAACGCTCATGTGAGAGCTGTGAAGATGTAGCAGTCCTACATCACCATGCTGAAAGTGTCAAATAATGATACTCGTTCAATGTTGTGAATCCTGGTCGACCTTGCCCAGGTCTGCTCAGCATGAATCCAGTGCTTCAGGACACTGGATCTTCCTGAAGCTTCCACATGGTGCAAATGACAATGAGCATTATGTTGAGCTTTGTAGCCACCCTGTGCTTGTGGATGGCCTGCCTCCAATCTACCAATAATTCTGCATATTATTCCATCATCAATACGTTCGTGGCTACTTATTTTATCTCATACCTAATCAAATTTACTCAATTCTTTTGAGAAACATGATGAATGTTGCGAAGGCGTACGAGCACACAATTCATCCAAAATCCTCCATGTGCACATACTCCTCCTCAATCACAGCTCGGCAGATATGCTCGTAAAATTTACTCGATTCTTCTGAGAAACATGCCAAATGTCACGAAGGAGTACGAGCACACCAATTGCCAAAAACCCTCCATGTGCACATATCTCCTCCATAATCACAGCTCCGCAGACAAGCACATGTAGGGTTACACATTAGACTTAGACACATTAGAATTATTAGCCATTAGACACATTAGAATATTTGTGTAATTCTTCGGCACTATAATTAGTACCTTTGGTTTAATACTTTTTGTAAATAAAGACATAATTTTCAAATTATCTTAATTTTGTAAACAAGTGTATTATGAAAGCACTGAATTTAACCACACAAGAAGTGTTGGTAGCTATGGAACAGTAATTAAAGAATTTTTTTTAATTCTGCAATAATTATGATGGATTTAAAACTTTGATTCAGAGATACCATTTCTATTTTCATTATCTATTTTCTAAGCTATATAATTTACTTTGTATTATATTTTCAGATTATTGCACGCAATTCTTTCCTCTTATGGGACAATGGAATAATCAGCATTACTTTTCAAGCAGCTTAAGATGGAAGTTCATGTAAAGACACAAATATAAGTGGAAACATATATGCATTAGAAAACTACTGCTTAATACAGAGCTTAGTACTGATTATTTTATATCCATCTGAAAGCTGGAACAATAGTTAAAACAAATAATATATGTTTAAAAAAAACATAAATAATTACTCCTTTGAAGTATGACAGTGTTTCTTTAAAGGAGAGAAAGATATGAAACAAAGTGAAAGATATAAAAGAATGATGGACTGATAATTTCTCTTTAAAGGTTTCACTTGATATAGGAACCTATCTGTGACGAAAATGAAAAATGTACAAGTGTGCATTTTTTGCTTTGTTTCCAGTAGAAAATCGTTGTTTGATTTTAGACAGCATATACATCACTTAAATAGAGATTCATGCCTAGGTAGAAGATGACATATATTTATAATTTAGCAATATATGTATTACATCTGCACTGCTTAGCAACACAATGAATTCAGATGAAATGTAAATATGTATTAATTGATATGTATTGTATGATGTACAAAATATAAGTTGAAAAAAAATCAAGATGACATTGGAAGAACTGAGCTTTAATTCTTATAAAACATATAACAGTGCACTGTACAAAAAATACATATTTTAGGGTCTAATGAGAAAGAGGATTATGATTGTTAAATTTATTATAAAGGAAACAAATTTTGTGTACTACTTTTTTGGTTTCAGAATTATGCTTACTGTACACGAAGCACACTAAAAGCTCCTATGTACACATAACATAAAAGCATTCACTACATATACAAATTTATTACAAACAGCATTCACAACATTCTTCTTATACCTAATGAAATCAGTTTATTGGTCTCACAATTTGAAGAATCAAGCCTCTTTGCTAAACTGATAGCAAAGTTTTATTCAACTTTGTTATTTTTTTACATAAGGACAATGTTTCAGCAAAACATCAAATACTGAATGTTTTAATTAGCATAGATGTCAACAAAGTATCACTTGGTTGTGTGTTAAATACAAAGCCATAAGGACAATCCCAACTGACTGTATATAACATAATATGGGGAAATAAAAAATAAATCATGACTCTTTTCTGTCTTTTCATTTGATTATACTTCATAGCACATAAAACGTTTTAGACTGTTTATATATTTCCACAATAAATTCATGAAATAAAATTTGTGTAACATTAACAACAGAAATTAAAATTCAGACATGATTATATATTTACACCAGTATGAAAAATCCAATATTGTTCACTTTCATAATTATGAGGTATAACAATGTTAAATAGAAAAGCTTTATAGTAAACATTATCCAATTGAATGTATGCAAATAGCATACTGTCTGGAGATGAATTTCAAGCAGGCTCGATATGTTCATGGAGTTCAAGTAATCACAAAGTCACACCACAGTAGTAACATAAATATCACACGACAAAATTTAAATATTTAAATCAGCATCAAGCATACTGCAAAATAATATTTACTTATAAAAAAGCTAAACTGCATTATTCATTTTGAGCCTTTTTTATAGGGGAATAATTCCTTTATAAAATTTTTAATGTGGTAAAAAAAGCTAAATTTTCATTATTAGAAATTATTATTTAATAAAAATAACATTTGATTCAAGAGCTAAAACATAATTTCCCTCAGCATCACAATTCACAAAATTTGGACCTCTTTGTTAGGATACACTTTGCCATTGGTGTTTAAAACTGGAAAGATGGCCAAAAAAAATTTAACAACAATCTTTTTCCTGATTATTTTTCATCACTTGAAATTGCAGCTAAGATCTTGAAGGATAAAAAATAAGTTCACATATGTATACATATATATATATATAAAGACTTGGAATGAAATTCTTTTCATGAAAAAAAAGGAAACCTTACAAAACAACAATTATCCACCAATGCACAGCCAAATGACAAGCCAGGGTTAGGACACAATGTTCCGCCTCTTCTACCAACTGAGGAATAACGGACAGGTGCTACTGTGTGTGATGCTATAGATCTCCACAGAAGGCATCAAATAATTGTTAATATAAAAAAAGAAGTCATGCTTGGTTGGATGCTGGTTGTAATAAGCTACTCACATCCCAAAGCTTAAAAAAAAAAAATAATTATACAATCAATATCCAAAAATAATGAAAATAATAATAAATTTAACTAAATCCAGGTTTAATACATTTAGTCATTTCTTCGAAAATATATTTTCAATATCATAATAATTTAGTTTTACACTAAAGATTCATCTATAAAGACAAAGCACATTATACAATAACAGCCTTAACAGTAATTACTGGGTTATTTGGAAATCATTTTGTTTTTCCATAATGTTACTGTAGCAATGCATAGATTATTTTAATATTATCCAAAATTTTTGTTTGTTCATTTTTTTAACTTATTTTTGAAAAAGCATTGTGGCTACTGACATATAAGTATGCATTTTAAATAAGGCTTATCAAAATTGAAGAATATTTACATAGATATTTTATATTAAAGGATGGAAAATAATTTTTATCACATTTTACTTTTTTTTTCTTTGCAAAAATAAAAGAGCTGCATATGCATATTAAAAAATATTCCTGCTCTGTATTCTGATAATGAACTAATAAAGTACACATGGCAGAAATAATATGGAAAATTATGTTCAAGTGATTTTACAGTTCAAAATCCACCTTAAACTAAGACTGATTATGACAAATAAAAAGCACCGATTGAAGCTGATTGTAACATAACTGTATGTGAACTTGCTGAGAGTCTACAAATTCAATAAAACCACTGATGATCATTAGAGAAAGCTTAGTTATGACAGAAAGCTTGATGTTTAGATCCTACATGAACTTAAAGAAATTCATATCAGCATGATAATGTATCAGCACATATGATTTCCTTTTAAAACATAATCAAAATGATCCATTTTTGTAACAACTGATAAATGATGAAGATCATTGACGAAGCCTAGTAAGATACAGATACATATAAGACTGATATTCATAAAAAAAAAAAAATCAAAATTACACTAACAGTTTATTGATACAAGAGAACAATTTATTTTGAGCTTTAACTAAGGAATGAAAGAATTTCAATATGAACTGTCTATATATAACAAAACTGAAAGATGCTCTGCAACAGAAATGACCAGAACTGGTGATTCACAAAACCACAGTGTTCTATCAAGACAATTAAAAAAAAAAAAAAAAAATGATCTACAGTCACTCATCAAAAACTACTGAGATGTGCTAAAACATCCACCATAAAGCCCTGACACTGCACTTCCAGGCTATCATTTGTTATATCTCTGCAAAATTCTTTAACAGGTAAAACCTTCACTTCAGATAACTGAAAAATACCATTTGGAATTTTTTTTTTCATTAATTAATTTCTTTAAAAACAATACAGGGTGACATTTGGTGGCAACAATCTGAAAAGTGATATAAAAATAAAAAGATATTTTTAATATAAATAATAACTGCTTTAAATTAATACCTGTAAAGATGCAGAAAAACAGAAAATTAAATTTTTTTGTCTTAAAATTAAGATTCAATTTTCTTTTAATGAAATATTTCCTATGTTTATTCATATTTAATAGTTTTTAAATTTTTAAAGTTTTTTTCTTATGACCATCCCCTCATTGGTACAGTCACTGCCCAGTTTTCAATTATTATTATTTTTTTTTTAAGATTATTTTTCCATCTTCCTTTTTTTGCGCAAAGTTATAAAAACTAAAGTAAATAATGGAGGGCTATCAGGGACCTTTGGGAAAAGGACCACTTTCTCAGGGAAACTGGTTTATATTTATCTTACACACGGGGAAAACCATGAAAAACTAGACATCCAGTCTGTTTGCCTAGATTCGAATCCAGGATATACTAACAGTATTTATAAATCTTAATCACATGCCCAATGGTGAGACCATGTAAGACCATAACCATCAAACACATGAATATAAATATATATATGAATAAATAAAACAGTAAAAAGCAGTTCAAAACCTAATCCAATTGTGTTCTGAAAAGTAGCAACAAATGGTGGTAATGCAAAACAAATTTAAAATATGTTTAAAATTAATAGAAATAGATTGTGTTTATGTATTAACACAACCAAATTGGAACAGTTTGACTTTTTTTTTTTTTTTTTTTTTTTTGCAATGGGAAAAGTATAAGTTACTTATTGGGTGGTAGCTGGCAATCTTTATAAAGAGATTCTGAACTGTTGATATTTATTGCTATTTGAAAAACACCACCAACATATAAAAATAAACAAGCTTTAACAATTTAAAATACAAATTGAAATTACTTAAATAAAGACCATACCACACTTTTAAAAGTAAAATCCATTCTTTGCAAACTTCTTGTATAATTGTTTGCACTGTTCTCGCTATTTTTGCCAAATAAAGAACTGCACATGCTGTCCACTAAATTATTTGATCATTGCTCCCTTTACCAATTTTTTTTGACAAAATACTGTATTCCTACAAAAATGTTACTGCAGTTTCTTCCATAGCTGGCAATTCTACAAATGCATACTTTAAGATTGAGTTAAGGCAAAAAATATCACAATTTGTCTATAAAAACCATTGGAACTTAGAATACAACACAAGGAATGCATATGAAAATGGTGAAATTGCTTGACTGAAGAACTATTATGAGCACAGTTGTCTGGAGAATGGTTATGCACATGATTACCAGAGTCTGGTATATTCTAAAAATTTGCTGTCTCTACAACTAAATTGGTTGTGATAATATGTAAGGTACTACATAGATTATGGATATTTCTACATTATATGCATTCTTATAAGAGTGAAATCATTTAATACTCCACATATAATTTGATTTTCTTGTTAATATTAACCTAACAACACAGCTGCAAGTTCTTTATAACAAAATTCATTCTGCATATTATGTACTTTAGAATTTTAGAAGTTACGCTTCATGCATAGTAGTGATATATAAAAATAAACATAAGTAGTCAAGAAATAAAATTCTAAAAACATTTTAGAACATATGAATTTTAGAACATATGAATACACATTATATTTCAGCAACTGCTTCATTCAGAAAATACATGAATTATTGTCAAAACAAAAATATAGATAATTCACTTAAGTATGCATGTGCAATATGTTACCTTTATTACTTTATCTGCTCCAACCGTTAATAAATGAGAGCGAGTTTCATCCAAATGCATATGAAGAATACTGTGGCGAGCATCATGAAAAGAAGCTAGAGAAACTCGACTGATGGAAATAAAAACAAGATACGTTATACAGTGAAATTTTATAATAAAAAATGAAGAAATTTTTACAGAATTAAAAATAATATTTACTCAGCATCTGTTATGACTGTGTAGCATTCATCACATACTCGAACATCAAATTCATAACCCATTATTGGTATTTTACTTTGGTTGCTACTACATTTATCACATACAGCTTTTCCACATTTTCTACAATGATGCTGTAAAAGTATTTAAAATTAAGACATATACATTCATATTTCAAATTGCATACCACATACATAAAATAATATTTAAATAAGCAACTTTTGAATAAAGGTGGCTAATATTTGATGATTTTAACTCTCACGAAATGAAACATTGGAGTTTTGATTCCCATTTTTCAAGTTTATGATATTGCCATACTATAATATTAAAGATGTTCAACATTTAAAATCACATTTTGGAAAACTACATGGTAGTACAAGCTTGTATGTTATTACAACAACATACTTTATATAGAAATTTAATTACTGCTAATTTTCAATAAAAAATCAGTATTTTCATTATGTATCTTTACATCTTTATAATGTCATGAAAATTAAATTTTTCTAAAAGGGTTCTACAGTAAAGAAAATATATTAATCCAAGAGTATTATCTAAATTCTTGAAGTGTAGGAAACTATATCTTGCTGAGCAAATATAAATTTTGGGAGGGGTAAAAAGGCAGAGCAAAATTAAATGCCATGAAAAATTTATAGGGCAGAAAATTACGAGTTCATACAGTGATATTAATCATGTGGGCTTTTTTCCCCTCCCCTTTTTTTAAGTTATAGCAGTTTTTACATTTTTTATAATAAAATAAATATAAAATTGTATGCTGAACACTTCCAATTACAATTTAACATCCTGAAATGTTATCCATTAGAGATTCAAAAAGTTTTTTAAAAAATTTAATGTACATACATGTAATATGATTAAACACACAGAAACATATTAATTTTTATATAATACTTGTAAGATTTTTAGAGTAAAATATAAAATCATACATATATATAAATTTTTATATAAAATTATAAGATTAAAAAAATTGCAAATTTCAATTTAACATCCGAAATTATTTCAATCTAGGCAGTTATAACAGGCCTCCTAGTTTAAATAATAGTTCTCCATTAAAAAAAAATAAATAAATAAAAATAGATTGCAAAATATTATATTTAAAATGAGCTTTCAAAGCAGTAAAGCCAAATGGTCAGAGGGAAAAAAACTGCCATATTATTTCGTTGTAAATTAACAAAGATTTGTGCACTTGTTTTAGAAAGAAATGACTTATTTTTTCAAGAACATTTATTTTACTAGATGCATTTATGCATGAAGCAACAAATATGTCCTTCAAGTGACAATACAGTATTTATTACTTTGACAGAACATGAAATCTGCAAAGCGAAAAGAATAAATATCTCAAAGAGATTTTCCCCTTTCAGATGTAAAGAAAGAAAAAGAAGGGGTTGAAAGAAAAAATTCTGTGAAATACAGACACTCTGAGCAAAAGGATGCTGGCATACAAGACAGAGATCTTTTTCAGGCACAATTTTTTTTTTTTTTTTTTGACAGAATTGAAGGTTGATTTCTTTTATTGGCAGAAATGAAGGTTGATGTTTTTTGTTGGCAGAATTGAAGGTTAATTTTCTTTCAAGATTCTTTTACTAAACTGATCAAAGATTATATTGAAAACATAGTCAGAGAATTATTAATCTTCTTTTTACAAGACAGCCTTTAAAAGAAACAGTGCCAGTTTTTCTGGGAGGAAGGTGTGATAAAATTCCAGCTACAGAAGTAACTTTGAAATAAAAGGAGTTGAACTCTACCAACTAATAAAAAAAAAATACAGCAATTTTAAAGAAAGTTCATTTTCTTTAAAAATATGAATGGCACAACAAGAATAAATGACTGAAAACAAAAGATAAATGAAAATACACTTTACAGTAGATGCCTGTATATGTTTTGGAAAACATGTGATTCACGAACTTTTAACATTTAGCTTGAAAATATTAAGCATTTATTATATATAGTGATAAAAATGTGAAAAAAAAAAAAAAAAAAAAAAAAAAAACTATAATGCTGCTAACGGGCAGCAACTTCAGTTCAAGACAAATTCAGCTTAGATTAGAATACATTCTAAACATCTATTTAAATTACTTCACCTGTCTTATTCCAATGACTTTTTGATCAACCATTGCTTTAATATTCCAAAAGAAAGGCTTTGAACACCGTTGGCAGTAATCACTATCAGCCCATTCAGGAGTCTTTAAAATAAAAAATAAAAAAAGTAAATATTTGTGCTAAATGTTTAATGAATAACATGGAAATTTTATACGTGTGCATTTTCTGCATGCCATTTTACCAAATTTAAATTGATGATCTATAATCCGGAAAAACCCCTAATCTGGAATTGCCGAAGTCCCGACGAGTTCGGATTATGGACTTTGTACTGTACTTGTTTTATTATCCATTTAAAATTTTGTAAACGAATTTTTGATTAACAAACTCAACGATATCAAAGCGAGCAATGACAACACTGCATGGAAAAAACATTTTTATCTCCAGCGCACGAGACTGAGTCTCAGAAAGTCTAAAGATATGCTCTTTTTAAATTATTTTGTGAAGCGAATTGAATTTTATGGTTTAAGTATGAAGAACGTGAAATTTAATAAATAAAGGTAAAATAAAATTGTTGAAAAAAAGGCCCCTTTAAGCATAATATAAAATCTGAAAACTTTCAGATTTTTTTTCTTATTATTTAAAACTTTGAATAAATTTTTAATTAAAAAAATCTCAATTATTGGATTAGTGAAAATATAATTTAATCAAATTAAGATGTGCATAGAAAACTAAATAATAATGACAATCTGTCTTACTTTTGTTACATACCATTTTTCAAGTGATTTTGGTTATACCGTGTTATGTGTTCTTGGCAATAATTATCTGGCACCAAGAAACAAAATATGAAAAGGTACCAAAAGTTAGATAAAGTAATTCAAAAAACTCATTTAATTTATTTACTTTAAAATTTCATTTATTTATTTACTTCATAAGAATTGCATGCTATACAAAAGGAAAACACGAAAAAAAATTATCATAAATTATAATTTTTTTTATATTGCATGTAATTATGCCAAACTGAAAAAACATGTTGAAACTGTTATGTGAACAATTTACTGTTGATGACATTTGTTATAGAGGAAGTAAGTATTTTTTAAAAACAATTAAAAACAGAACTTCAAAAAATTAAAATGGAAATAATTATAGCTAAGGTTACCAAGAACTCCATAATATTCATGAATTGCTGAAAAAAACAATCAGTGTAATACTTAGATAATGGTTACTTAAATATTAATGGATATGTTTTGTTATCACTGGCATCAAAAAAATATTGCTGATACATGATCTGGTATAATTAATCAGTACCAAGTTTTTCAATAGCTTGACATGGTAGCAGTTTAAAAATAATTCAAAATCTGAAATACAAGATTTTCATCAGATTAGAAAATTGCATGCTATAATTATTCATAAAACATTTCATGAAAAATGGACTACGATTTTAAAACAACGAAGTGTTGCTTTTATGTAATTATTTGGATGTCATATATAAGGAATAAAATTCAGAAATTTTATGTCTTTTCATAGTAAACAATACGTACTTGTTTTCTTAACTAAAAGCTAACTTTTCATCAAGCTTTCATAGATTATTCTTAACCAATAATCTATGAAAAGAAAATACAACCAAAGAGGTTAATTTTAAATTATCTGAACAAAATTTTGTAACTTTTTTTTCAAAATAGCAGTAATTTTTACATTATTTTAAGTCTCTCTCTCTTCACAGAAAGCATTTAAATTATTCTCTGATGAGTAATTTCTTAAAAAAAAAAAAAAAAAAAAAAAAAAAAAAAAAAAAAAAAAATTACACAGCTGAGTATACAAATAAATATGTAAACATTTTCTAATAACGTGATGAATTAACTAATGTATGCAAAAAAAAAAGGGGGGAACTTTTCATTTTGACATTTAATAACTGGTTGCTACAGAAGAAAAATTTTGTAAACAAACTTGGCAATAACTATGAACTTCAGCTTTTAAAACAAAACACATTCTAATCTAACCAAAGAGCATGATTTGTGTGTATCCAGGATAATGAAAAGAAACAAACTTATTTGAAACTAGAATTTTAAAAAAATATCTAGTGGAGTTCCCACCCATCCCCCAATTTAAAATATTTTTGCAAAGAGAAGATTAGCATCTATCAACTCATAAAAAAAAGAAAGCTATCACTAAAATAAACGTAACATAGCAGAATAAAAGACTATTTGTTATCATTCTCAAAGTCAGAAATTAATTATTTTCCTTAGTTTTTTCACTAATTCATTAGATCAAAAATAATATGTACACAGAAAAGAATACACATTTCAACAAGCAAAACCATTACCTACTATTGCATCAAAAGTATGCAGAGTGTCAACTAACCTGGTCAACATGAAATGCTGTCCACTCAAGGGGTGTTGTCTTCAATGATGAGACGAAGTTTGCACATGGTGCAAAAAATCAACAAGTGTGAATTTAAATATGGAACAGCAAATGTGAGTATCCCAGTCTACATGCACACTACTGAATGCTCAAGTCTTCCTATACCAAAATGACGATCTTGGGCGACATACATGATAAATGAATAGATAACATAAATGATAGATTCTCTGGCAGATGAAACTTTATGTAACTTTACTACCTTCACTGAATACTTCACTTCACTTTCCAAACATATTCCACAACTTAATGTGACACGATTATTAAAGTTCCCAGGCCATTTTTCAACAAAATAATGCTCCACCAAATAAACAGACCCAGTTTAAAAATTGAACTTTTCTAGGCCAGTCTACATGCACAAGCATGTTTTTGAGATAAAATCCTGCTTCTAAAATTTTGATGAATTCTTAGCCAATCAAGAAGCTATGAATATAAGCTCACTAATTTCTTTACTTTTATGTTATTTTTTTAAATGGCTGGAACATTCTGCAGTAACGATTATTTCCCTTACATGATACTTATTAATAATGATAAGTTATTGATAAATAATTTTGTTTCCTTACATAATACTACTATATTACACACATATTTTTTCATTAAGCATAATTTCTCATCTTTTTATTATTTGTATCTTAGACATAGTAAGATGAATTTATTCTTTAAATTTAACAGGGTTGCCACTCAAACAGGAGAATGAAATTCCCTGACTTTTCCAGGTTTTCCAGGTGTGTTTCAAGAAAATTCCAGTCTATCCGCGTAATGTACGTTGGCTGTGCTAAGAGGTAAATTAATTATGGTATTACTTGTATTGTGTAGCAAACTCACTTAATTATTCAATAAATCCCAGAGGACATTTATTCTTAATTATTCTTGGTATACTTTGTTTGATAATTTTGTTTAGTTTTCCACTTAAGAAACTTAATAAAATTTAAGATATATATATTGGATAACAAATGTATGTTTTATTTAATTATTACTCATGATCATCACCAGTTCAACACGAGGCTAATCCGGTTCCTTATAAATCACAACGCAATGCTAAATATTTAGGTTAGATTTTAGGTAAATTTAATTTGCGTGAGGTATGTTCTTAAAACCTTAACACTTGAAAACACAAATATAATTATAATAGTTGTTGTTTTCTCCACTGAAGATTGAGATTAGAATCTTCCCAATCTGGAATAAAATAAGGCTTTTTTTGCAGACATTCTGCAGCTAAACGAAAGAAAGAAATCTATTTTAATATATTGAGGTATTTTATATTTATTTTGCAGCATACATAAGGAAAAAACATGTGCATTAAATTTCGTGATGGTATGTCATCATACTGCTATAATTAATTTCAGGATTATGCCAGAGAAAATTTCCTGAAATTTGAAAACATTATTTACTAATAATAAATAAATTTAGAGGGAAGAAGCAACATTAAATTATATGAATAACATAAAAATAATTACTTAAAAATTGAATTAGAATAATCATCTTTATTTTAGCGAATATAGTTATATTACATGGCTAGCCTAGATGACTGATTACTATTTTTTTATTTACTGCAAATGGCAAGGTATTTATTAAAAGAAAAAAAAGGTTAATTAAAAAAGATTTTTGCGGTAAAATTCTAGTATACGGTAAAGGCTTTGGCACGATTTTGAAAATTGTCGCCAAGACCAAAATGACCCGTTTACTGCGCATCAAGATGTCGCCAAATCCCATTATTATTCTAACCAAAGAACGTCTATGTAAAGAAGAAAAAGGTTCCATACAAGTAAAATGCTATTACGCCGCTAGAATGCGGAGGGAAAATTTGCCAAGGGATTTGGCGACAGAACCTGGCGGTCAGAATTTCTCTCTCCGCGATGTGTACAGGAATTGAGAAACACGTGTTAAGGAAGAAAAAGAAACGCTTTTGACAAAAAGAAAACTACGAAAATCCGTTTTTAAATTATTGCGAAACATCCAAGAAGAAACGTTTTATCAAAGGACGTTTCTTCTTGGATTTTTCGCAATAATTTTAAAAACGGATTTTCGTAGTTTTTTTTTCTCTCTGAAAATAACTAATCCATGAATTAATTTACTTGCGCCAAAAAATATTTTCTTTTCCTTTAGAGTTTAACCACTTGCGCTAAGACTAAACTTCACGGTTTTGCGGTGCCGTGCGCTACAATATAACAAGCGGTAAAGTGTCTCATTTACGCCGCTCCGCATCTGCGAGTGCAATCCAGAGCTGTAACTCGAGAAATAAACAATCTCGTTGTTAGGCGACATTGTGCACCACGTTATTTTCATTTTTGCGATAAATGCTTATCGACGTGGTGTTCACGTCGCTCGCGGTTCGAGACAAAAGCATCTTTTTAGCGCAAGTGGTTAAAGAAATTTTAAACGATATTCATTTTATGAACTCTTGATAACGTGACCTTCGAACTTCGACACCGGTTTCGAGCTTTGGTGACAGATATATCAGACATGCACAGCTGTTTCCCTCTATGATGGAACGGAGCCACAGCCACGTCTGTTGCAGAGAGGTTTTCCTTCTTTACAATACATATTCTTTGATTCTAACCTCCATAGTACCATATACTAGGATTAAACCCATTTTGTTTTATACGAGAACAGGTACTTTCTTTAGTTCATGCACTGCACATGCGATTCTCGAGAATACTGGAAACCAAAAGTTGCGGGAAAGATGCTTTGCCTTTCTAAAAGACAATCAAATTGGAGCTGCGAAAATTGGCTCTATGCCAGCTACCCGAATGACACTCATGTGATACATAATTCGCCAAAAATGTTACCTCTTCCGACGTCGGCGCAAAAATCGCGCTTTTTTTTTTTTGGCGGGATCGTTTGTATGAACTTCCCTGACTTTTCCAGATTTTTGACAAAAATACTTAAATTTCCCTGACTTTTCCCTGAATATTTTGGTCAATTTTCGAATTCCCTGACTTTTCCCGGTTCTCCAGGTAGCGTGGCAACCCTGATTTAACCTCTGCAACCTACAGTTTTATTTGTTCAATAGTGTAGTCCAATATTAATTTTAAAATTCCCTCTGAGCTTTTATACCATTAATTATGTTATGAATTCAAAATATAAAAAATTATCTTTAATGATAATTTGATTTTAATTTCATTTATTAATAATTTTATAGTATTCTTCAAACACTTGTTCATATAAAGACTTCCTCTTATGAACATTCCAATTAAACATGTATTTTCCTTTCTTGTAAAATGAGTAATTTTTCTTTCTGCAGAATCATTTTTGATATCATTTTAACTAATCCTCTTCTTCACTCATTATTGGTAGACAGACTAAAAAAAACTTTTTCATTCTCTTAGACAAGAATTTTTCATCATAAATTTTAAAACATCTAATTATTTCATTATGCCTTCCTTATTTATTCTCAATTCTGACTAGGAAAAAAAAGGGGGGATCCTGCAAGTTTACTTACATGAAATCTAGCAAAAGTGGAATATAAAATAATGTTTAATTCACAGTTTTCTATGCTACAGAAAAAAATGATAACTGAAAACCATTTTGCAAATAGCTACAAAATGCTATATAGTATATCTATAAGAGATAACCAAACAAGCTACATGAATACCTACTGATCAGAATTGATTTCTATACAAAAACACTTGGGGGGATAACTCTCAAGTTAAATATAAATACTATGCTTCAAAATAAAAGTTTAACTTTTAATTTAACCCTCACTAAATTTAACGCATAATTTATATTATTGTTACATGTATGGAATTTGAACTATATGTAATTTTTTTTTTTTTTTTTCATAATGAATCTATTATTTTCAGGCAGTTTCATTTCTGCAATATTTTCAAACCAGACAAAGTGAAATCGAAATCTGAAATACAGATATTTTACACTAGATTTAAATATACGCCCTAAGTAAATGTATTTTAAAAGGCCCAACAAATAAAACTAAAAATAATCCTCACCTCTAACCTTTTCACTTGCATATTCCAAAATACTATGGTACTGTCTTCAGATCCAGAAATTAGTTGTTTTGATGCATTGGCAAAGCAAAGTGCTGTTACTTTATTGCTAGAGGAAACATACTATCAGGTAACATATAATTATAAATAATCAAAATGTAGCCACAACAAAATGTCATTAAACTTTTGAAACTACAGCTGCATATTATTAAAGAGCCATATTAAATGCTTAACAAAGAGTATACTTTTACAAGTAAAGCATACAGAAAATTTCTTAAAATAATTATATAATATATTTTTTAAACAGTTTGTTGTTGTTATTGCATGAATCATAAAAGTTTATTTTAATCACTGACAGGACAAAAATTTCTAAATGCAAGAGTTGAAAACTAAATCAATGCATTAGAATTAATAACTGACATATATACATTTCTTGTTCAGGCAGTTTAATCAGTACATTTTAAAATGAAAGAAAAACAATATCAAGAAGTTTAATTACATGTTTAAGCTATTAGTAACTATTTTTTCATAAATTAACTGTCAAAAATGTATAAATAAATAATTAAAATTGATAACAAAGTTTAAATTCTAAAGTGAAAAAGAGAAATTTTTCTCTGGTGCAATAATTTTAATACAATAAAATTATCCTTAAATATTCAATACATAGCAAATACAATTAAAATTATATCTCATAATTCATCTAGGATTACTTTTAACATTTTAATGACAGGATGCACGGATGACATTCTAAATAAAATTTACATTATCTACGAAGAATATGAAATGGCATTTTTATGAAAAGGAGCATTTTCTAAGCAAATGATTAAAAAAAAGATGTTTTACTCTTTTCAATTATTGTGGTTAATAAATGATATATAGATTTAAATCTTGAATGTGCATGCTTTGTAACAACCAATGCACTTTTTAAGGTTTACAAATTATTATTTCCCATTAAATTAAATATCATTATTTCCTATTAAATGGCAGCTGGCAATGCCTATCATAAAAATCAAACAGCATAACACACAAGCAGTTTGATAAATTTGCATAAATCAGAGCAACTAGGAAAACAAGTAACAATCATCATATAAAATCACTTCTTGCACTTTATTGAAGTTGATTTCTATCTTGCTGTATTTTATACCTATATTCAAATGTTAAATTTACTCTTTGCAAAAATGGTGATTGTAGGAATGATTAATTTAGTTATTATAGTATATTTTCGTAGTAATTTTATATAGTTGTACAGCAGACAGCAGTTAAACACACAGAAAAAACTATTTATCTAAAAGTTTCGATCAGCCCGGTTATTAAATCAGTATTATTATTTATAATCTTTTTAAAAGTCGGCCATCTTTTTTTATATGATTGCCATCTATCATGCGTGTTTTGATCAAAAGCAAATTCAAAGAATATTCCAATAATCTAGCTTGATTATTATTTTTACAACCTACATTTGTTAGCTGAGGAATATTCCTTTTATTTTCTAATCACAACATTTCCCCCTTTATTGGTGACAGATAACATTCCAAACACTGTTTATTACAAGAGATTAATCTTAAATTCTGTTTCGCCCAAGTTAATTCTTATGCATTCTGTATTTTTGGTTATGGTGCCAGGTAATTAATCATTAGTAAAATTTAATCTACATTAATTCAAACAAAATCCAATAGTATTCATGCTAGTTTCAAAATTTATAAGTTTGGCATAAAAGTATAAAATATTTATTTGGGGCATTATACTTTTTGTTGTATACCATAGTTTGGCATAAAAGTATAAAATATTTATTTGCTTTATTTGGGGGCAGGGGCAACTCTGGCTCAAATTATAGAGCAAGAATTTTTTTAAATATAATACTTTGTATAGGAAATGTTAAACAGAACAATATCTTAGAGGATTTCCTCCCCCCCCCATGGCAGGCACTTGACTATAACGGCATTCGCCACTCCTAAGTGGTGGCCATTTTATTGTGGAGTACTTTAAAATGCCTTATAGGCGGCCACCTAAAGGCCTTATAGGCCTAATAGGCAGCCATCATTACCTCCTATGAAGAAACAAATAATTTTACATCCATGCCTTCTCTGGGATTCGAACCCGGGCCCTTCAGTATCACAATCAGGCTCACCTAACCACTATACCGTCTAGACGGCTATAGAAGAAAATTAAAATTAATAACTGTAGTTTTTGTAACTGAGTCAAAAATAAGGAAAATCACATTCATTTCAAAATGTTATACTTCTCAACTACATTTAGATATTGAAATTATGTACTAAATTATGTTTTGTTTATTTTATGAAAGTAATTAAAATCTAAAAGCAAAAAACTTTATAATTTTGGTTGGTAAAATAATCAACACAATTTTTCCCTCCACTAATTGTTATTGTGACCTCTCTCCCTTGTCTGACAGTAACATCAGAATAAGCCTACAAAATTCAACGTGGTAAGGAGAGCAAGACTGCGCCTATCGTTGGCAAGAGCCTTGAGAACCGACAGCACGATTTCGCTAAATTCCGGCCCCCAATTTTGAAGCAGAGCACCAGTAGGGATGGGTCTGAGGGTCTTTCACCACTCTTTCCCTACCCCTAACATCTTGAGAGGACTTTCGGCTCGCCACATATTTAGAGTACCCCCATGCTGCACAGACACTATACATTTACAAACATTCATGCTTCCTCCAGAATTCGAACCCGGACCCTTCGGTATTGTAGTAGGCTACCCTACCTAACCACTATACCATCTAGGCAGGCTCCCTCCACTAATTTATGTACTTATCATACCAAATAAAAAAGTTTAAGCAGAAACTTTAAAAATAATCTTTTTGTAAACAAAAACTAAAATACATTATTAAAATGAGATATGGTAAAATAAGAAAAACCTATATAAATAGACTAAAAGTAACTACGTAATGCCTTTACTCTTCTCTATATATATATATTTAGTATGTGCTTTTTTAGATGGATGTTTATTAATTTATCCTGAATTCAATTAAATGCCATTTTATTCTTCAGCCGTTTGACTACTGCTAATTTAGAACTACGAGTACTTTTTATTTTAAAACAAAATTAAAACATTTTCTTTAAATATATATATATATATATGCACAAATTTTCTTTGGTATTAGTTTGGCAGTAATCCTTCACTTCTGCTCAGTGTTTAGTATCAAGTCAACAACACTTTAGAATGTTGTGAATATAATTTAATGCAACATAATATTGGGTTAATCTCTTTTATCTGCATTGTCTATCAAAGTATTACGAAGAGGTATTCACATTTTAAAATAGACATAACTTTTAACCCTCTCAGCATTACGGCCGGAAAATTCCGCATAGAAGGCTGCCTTCTATATTCATTATACATGAAAATTTCTGATAGTTTTTAATGTATCTGATATCGGTTTGGATGTATATTGGAAGAAAAGGAATTAAGGTACAAAATGAGAGAGTAATTTTTTAATTAAAATCAAGAAAATATCACATATTCATGACATTTTGAGGAACTTTGAAATTTCAGGGCTAAACCTGTAATGCTCGGAGGGTTAAATGATATTTTTTATGATAAATTCAAATATGTCTAGATTCTAGACAATTGCAAGCAAGATAAAAAAAATTCATAATGAACACTTTTTATTGAAAATATCCAATTTGAGGAGAAATTTTTAGTAAAAACTAAAAGGGGGAAAATAAAATATTTTTTTTAATTACGTAATGCAAAAATATTTGGGAGGATTATAATTAAATACAACTTAGCACATACAAATGTAATAGTAAAAGAATTATTGATCATTACATAAACATTAGAAGTGTGATATTGGAAAAAATTGTTAGAGTAAAAATTAATTTTTTTTATTACTGTTTGTAAGGGGAAAAGATAAATTAATCTTAAAACTTATAATCATATATTTTGAATTACACTAAAAATTCTTCTGAATTTTATACAATGTTTAAATATAAATTCATAGACTAAATATTCAAGTAAATTGGAAATACAACTTATGCAAATTAGAAGAACAACAATACAAAATTTGAATGATTTTATAAATAATTATAATAATGGGGCATTTTAAAGTGCATTTCCCCCTCTAAGAGTGAAAATAAGTATTTTAAAATAACATGAATACATAATTTAAAATTTCTTACTGATGCCCTTGTAATTCGTAAGCTGTACCCTGCTGTCCTCCAATATCCCACACAATGATTGACTGATCAAAACTTCCTGAAAATAGAAGCTTCCTTTCTGGGTCCCATGACAGGCAACGTATACTACCTGCAAAGAAAAATATTATAAAAAATATTAAAATTACAATAAAAACTCTTTAACTCCTTCCCTATTTTGCCCGTTTCGGGCCTTTACTGATTTGCCCGTATGGCGTACGGGCAATCTGATTTCTATTTCGCTTGCACTGTTTCAACCGTATTTTTTCCAATTTTAGTAACAAATTATTCATATAGATGGCGATAATTGTCCAGTAAATGATAGTTTGCAGTTTATTGTCTGATTGGTTCAAAAGCGCGGGTTTTTTCCGCATGTTTTGCATCAGAAGACGAATTGTTATCTTTCAGTGTATAGCTTTCTGGTTATATTTTACTAACCGCCTGATAATTTTATTGATGTAAGAGTTGAATAATATATTTTTACTTTTAAATAATGGATAATTCAGAGCATATGGAGCTAATTTCTTGTGATTCAAACTGTGACTCGGAATAAGAAACTGAATTATCTGTAAATGATAGTAGTGAAAGTTTACTAGCTGACCTGGATATTAGTGACTCTGATAGTAGTACAGATGGAATCAGTCAAGCAAGACATTTTTTTAAAATTAGTTGTGATAATCCTTCGGATCCGCCTCCTAGATTTGCTTTCACTGGAATTCCAAAAATTAACTTGGATATCGATCAGACTAAAGGTAAACTTCAGTTCTATGATGCTTTCATAGACGATTATTTGCTTGACCTGATTGTTTCTGAAACAAATAGATATGCTGAGCAATGCATAAAAAAAAGTACACTTCATAGGCATTCCAGGAGCAAAAAATGGACACCAACATCGAAAGATGAATTACACGTATTTTTTGCTTTGAATATTCTGCAAGGTATTGTAAAAAACCAGTTGTTGAGCAGTATTGGAGCAAGAAGCATTCTACACCCACGCCATTTTTTCCAAAAGTGATGTCATATCGCCGCTTTCAATTAATTTACAGTTATTTGCATTTTTCAGATAATGTCAATTTTGACATAAATTCTCGTGTGTGTCCAAAATATGGTCCGTGCTAAAGCATTTAAAAACTCGTTTTGAAGAAATGATCATCCCTGAATGTGTTGTTACCATAGACGAGAGTCTTATGTTGTTCAAAGGAAGTCTAAGTTGGAAACAGTATATTCCTCTAAAGCGATCACGCTTCAGAATAAAATTGTACATGCTTTGTGAGTCAAAGTCTGGATATGTATGGTTTATGATAATATACACCAAAAAAGGAACTGTGTTTGATGAAAGTTACAAACATTTGAGCAAATCTTTGCAGGTAGTTATTACACTTATGTAACCACCTTTACATAAAGGATACTGTCTGACAACTTTTATTCATCTCCTGAAATAGGAAATATGCTCATTAGTTACTGTACAGATATGTACGGAACATTAACACTTCAAAGAGAGGAAGTTCCTAAAGCACTGTTGACAAAAAAGGGCAAATGCTTGCTTACCAGAGGGGAAAAGTGTGCATTACGAAATGGATGGACAAAAAAGCCGTATCTCTCATATCTACAATACATAATGCGGAAATGGTTCAAGTATCCACTTCGACGAATGAAATTAAACGAAAAGCTAAAGTAGTTATGGAGTATAATAAGACAATGGGTGGTGTAGATCGAATGGACAAGAACCTAAGTAATTATCCTGTAATAAAGAAACGAGGAAAGAAATACTACAAAAAATATTTTTTCATCTTCTAGACATCTGCTTATGGACGCTTATGTTTTGTATAAAAAGCACGGCGGTAAAGATACGAATTTATAGTTTCGATTGGAAATTATTGATCGACTTATTGAAAGGCATGCAACAGTAGAAGAAATAAAAGGCCGTCCTGGATATTTACCAACCCACTAAGACTAACAGAAAAACATTTTTTAGAGATTATTCCACATACAGAGAAAAAACTAAGACCAGCAAGACAGTGTTATGTGTGTTCATTGAAAAAAAAAAAAAAAAAAAAAAATGACAACGGCAAAAGAATTAGAAAAGAGACAAGGTATTTTTGCCCAGACTGTGATGTTGGACTGTGCCTGTCGCCTTGCTTTAAGATATATCACACTAAATCAGATCTTTAAAAAAAGAAGATTAAGTATGTTTTGTATCAAAACATAATAGTAAATGTAATTGAATTGTAATCGAAAATATCTGTTAAGTAATTGTATTATTTTAATTGTAAATGTAACTTCAATGTTTCGCATTCATGTAGGGGGAAAAAACAACTTGCAGGGAAAATTGATTATTTTCATTAAAGAAAAAAAGTTGTAATAAATGCTTAAAAATATTAGAAATGTTAATTTTAATAACATATCTTTACTTAAAAATGTAAAATGAACCAGAAAATACAATAAAAAATGTGACATTTTTTTGATCGAATTCTGGAAAAAAATGAAACTGTCAAAGGGTTAAAGACTCATTAGATTTAAATTATTGTGAATGACAATTTCAAACTGTTAGGCTGATGAAGTATTTTTAGCACTTAAAAGCCTTTGCACTTGAGAGGCAACTCTAAATCACCACTTGATTTGATGTGATAACTCTAATGGTGACTCCTAATCACCACTCAGTTTAATGCGATAATTTGAGCTGTAACGATACTTATTTCGGTTTGATTTGGGCAATATCCCTTCATGACTGTATTTAACAATACATGCATATAAAATAACTGCCAATCTTTAATCTTAAATAGGTTTTTTAGATTTATTACTATATGCGTCCTCGAAGTTAGTTCGAACTTGACATTCGTGGTAATAGAATATTATTTTCAAAGTTACAGAACTCAATAATTAGGGAATATGATGAAGAAATCACTTTAAGAGAAAATGAATTCTATTGTTTGCTGATGAAGAATAAAATTACGTATATGCATAGACCACTTGACAACAGAGAAAACAAAAGCAGTGATGAAGAGAGCGATGAATATAAAAGGTGCAAGAAGGCAAAAATTTGATGTAATAGAATAGTGAAAATGAAAGCAACAGTGATTCAGCAGAAAAGAGAGAAAATTCAGAAAGGATAACGTGCACAGAAATTGAAGAAATACCACAAAGTATACCATATGTATCCCGCGAAATAACCACAAGATTGCAAGTATCTTCAGACATAAAAGGACCATAATATTTCTTTCAATTGTATGTGAAATAACTAATTTAGCTGTAAGAAATTCATGAAATATGTGGAAAACTGTTTCAAGTTGCTGATTCGACCAAGCAAAAAAGGCTTTGAGTGCAAAGGGCCAATACAAAGTTCGAAATTTGGACATTCATTATCTGGAATGATCTAAAATCCGAACCTCAAAGCCACCAAAAACATTTTCTTGTAGGCTTTATGCATGCTCATTTTATTCGTGCATAATAAAACATCTGGAGAGTCCCGATTCTTAATTTCACTGCGACACTAAATAAAATACCTTGTTATTGAAGAAACAATTATTTTAGCATAAATTTGTATGATCAGTAATTTGGCTTTGTTGCTGCATATGTGCTTGGCATACATCTCAAACGCAAACATTCCCCATAGATACATCGTTGATCTGACGCCAACCCGGCGAATCATTATTCATTATACTTTCCTTTCATCACCGCATGCTTATCAAAACATGACAAATTGAGTAATGACTCATTTAACGATGACTAAACACTATTTTTATGTTAGTAATTGAATAATAAAGGAGTATGGTAACCTTTTATGTTGACATTATGCCTGGCAATGATTACAAATTTAAGTTAAATGTGCTAAAAAATGTTGACGAGGAAAAATTTACCAAAACTTTCTTTCCATATGCTAAAAATAGATTTTTTTGATGATACTCATAGACTCAAAGATTACATTTAGAGCTATTTGAATTAAAAAAATAACTGATTTGTTATTCACATAAACCCAGAACCAGTGCCATCGAGTCAGAGAATTTAGGAACCACAGAGACTGCATCAGGAGGTAAGATATCTAGCGCAGACTCTCAACAAGGCTTAAGTATATGGTGAGAATTTATTTCAGAACTCTGATGAGCCTTAAGCATGTGCAAGAAATAGACATAAATATAATGAATAACTAAACTAATACAATTCAGGCTTAATTTGTGTCAGTGCACAATAGAAACAAGATAAAGTATAATGGAACAGCTTGTCGTTAGTCGCCAAGGTCATGATGCATAGCCAAATATGTATAGTGAAGGATAGCTAAATTGGATGATGATAGCCACTAATTTTAAAGGTTTTTGGATATCACAAAACCAAGGTGAAGTTTTCCAATTAACGGATTTTGTAAAGAAATGTGGAGAAGCAGTAATTAAGTGAAAATTATATAAAAGAAGTTTTTCATTGCAATGACAATGCTTCTCAATCATCAATCAATTAATGAATGGCAAAATCTGTAGTATGGTTCTAGATCCAGAAAAAAACTACTACTGATAGTTAAGAAAACGACAGAGAAGTTACTGAGAACGAGAAAATTTTGATTGACAAGTTAGTCGGAATTCTCGAGATAGCAAATTAGCAGTTACAGGACTTCAACAATGTAACTCAACAAGAGATTATGTCTGTCTACAGAATTAAAGAGAAAGTATCAGCGCAGAAAACGAAGCAACTTGCATTGAAAGAAATGTTTAATAAGGTAAATAAATATTACGCCTTTTTTTTTTTTTTTTTTTTTTTTGTAAATTTTGAAACTCTTTAGACCATATATACTTCATTATTTCATAAATAATGATTTCATATTTTTAATTTTATAATTTCTACATGTCATCTTACTAGATTTAAACTGATGATCCGGAAAAATCTTAAATCCGGAATCGCTGAATTCCCGACGAGTCCGGATTTCGGACTTTGCACTGTAGTTAAACTAGCATATTGCACAAGTAAATTTAAGCCAATTAAATGTCTCCTAATCCTCCATAAAAAGGTGATAACTTTTCATGCATTTTTTTAATATTGCCCTTGTAAAGGCTATTAGTGATGCTAGAATTATAACTAGAGGTTATTTTAGAGACTACCATATTTCAGAGATCTACACAGTTACAA